CGCTATTAATCGGCTCCGTTTACGAGCGAGGGCCTTGACCAAAGCGATATTTTTTCAGTTACGGTGTCTGACGATATCAAAGGTAAAAACCGCTGATAGACCTCCGGTACACTTCCTCGTGCTGCAATCGCGCTCAGGAAATTTCTATGTGGCACTATATAATTTCTACCATAGCCATGTTTCTTAATAATTAATTTCACTCGCCAAAGTATTTTCAAATATCGCAATTTCGCAGAGTTGGCATCTAGATCATGTCTAAAGAATATCTGAAAATAGTTGTGACACTTAGAAAGTCTCTCTCTCACAGGTGTTCTAGATTCTTGAAGTTTTTCAAATATTGGAAAATGTTCGAAAATTTTTAAACATTTCATAATATCCGGGATATCTAAAAGCCATCCTGAACATATAGAACGTTCCACTTCCCATATCTTATAATAAGTTTTGATAAATCTGGAATCAAGTTTTTCTCGACATATACTTCTGTGACAAATTCTAAATTAGATTTTTATTAAAAAAAAAACTCTATCTAACTTCCTGAAATTTACTTTGCAAAAAGACGTTCTTTTTCATTCGCTTATTAACAAAGATTATTAATACCTCGATATCTTTGTTGAAAAAAAATCGAACACATGTCTTATATATACATTTTTATTGCTTGATTTATTTATATAACAGCGTGATTGCTTTTTTCACCTGAAACAATTAGTTAGTAATACTGGAAAATTAATTTGCAATCTTTGTTATTAGAAATCAACAATATTACCCGCAAATACGCTCTTCTCGTGAGACTTTCGATAAATAATGATTTTTCAAATTGTGTTTAGCGGGAATCGTGTCGTGTTCGAATAAGGAAGTATCGCTTGCTTTATAATAGAGCTTAGTTAGACATAAACACGAGATGGTAATTTAACGTTTTGGCTAGCGTCGTTAAATAGCTCGGCATTCCGAGCTTTAAACTCGAAATTACGCTCGTCTGCCTACCACAAAGGCGCTCAAGGATTCCCAGGTGAACTATTCATTTCCTCGACTAATGCCAGGTAGTGATTCATCGACGATCCATTTAAAAACACGGACAGCTATTCGCCGCAACATTCTTTCGTCACGTGCAGAATACTTGAGCAATGAATCGCAATTAAACCGCGCGATAAGTAAAACGATAATGATAAAAATGTTTTCAAGTTATTCCTACGATTGCAATTGTAAAATTTAAAAATTCATCAGAAACGTCTTAACTTTTGAAATCATAAAAAAAAAAAATGATTTGTGACATTTCAAATTGTAACTTAGCTGAATTACGATTGCAAGGTACCATTCATTTAAAAATTGAATTCTTTCGTATATTTTAAACATAATTTTACTCTCACAGAAAGTGCATTCTTATATTTAATATGTAGCATGTACTCTAATACAAAAATTAATATTCAAGGAGCATATAAATAAAAAATATAATTTTTTATTAATGTTGGAACGTAAAATACAAGTTAAGAGATTTACACAGATTTTAATATTCAAAATATCTAAAATTTTAAGTGATTAATACGAATATATTATATTGTGTATTTGTAATAGAATAATTTGCGCAACATTTATCATTGTACCTAAATTATATGAAAACAGATATCATACATTTCTTTCAAATACAATTTTTAAAGACGTTATTTTATACTTTTAATATAATCTATCAGTTTTCTATCTTATTTTCGTTATTAATTCTCAACTCTCTTAGCTAATGTGTATTATTCAACTGGTATTACTTTTTTAGCCTGTTATGCATAAGTACATAATCACTATAACTGATTATAAAGTAAAACGAGATATAAGTCTTTAATTTGTAGCCATCATGCTTAATACATTTGTTTATAAAAAGTTTAAGACTTTAGAATCTATTGGTTGGAATATTATTTTAAACAATAATGTGAAATAAAATGAATAATAACACATTTTTTTCATATTATAATATCTTATCCAAAGAATTTTATGATGATGACATGCTTCGCAAAATGTTAAAATCTAAGAAATTATTAAGCATATTTAAAAAATGCTAATTAGATTAAAACAAAACATTGATATTATTGTGTGTAAATACATATACATATGCATTTACAGATTTTATTATAATGAGATAAATTTTTCAATAATTTAATAATAATTTAATAATAATAGTTGTTTTTTTCATTTATGCATTTATAGCGTTAAACCTTTATGGAATATTAATAACCATTTCTATTATGCCATTAATTATACAAAAAAATAACCTATTAAATCAAAATAACAGTAATTAGAATGTAATTAGAATGTAATCAAGATAACAGTAATTAAATAATATGTACATTATTGAGATATTGAATTACTTTTTATGTTTCTAATGAATATTTTAAGATTTCTAATATTCAGAAATTCCTCAATTAATCAAACAATGTTTTTAGATATAAAAAATGTTGGACTGGAAAAAATGTTTGATTATAACAATCGCATTTTATTGTTACATTTTGCAAGAACAAAATTTACAAAAAACTTGGTAATTATAATAAAAAACTGTATTCAAAATCAATTAATCAATTATCCAATACAGAATAGCCAAAGTGACATTTATTTTATAATGCTAAATTTATTTTATAATGCTAAAAAAATTCAAAATATTTGAGAATGCAATATTTTTTAATTCCATTTATCTTTGTTTCAACATGTTTCAACATGTTTCTTTGTTTCAACATGTTTGTTGTCAACATCTTTGTTTCAACATGTTTTTATATCTTTGTTTGTAACATTTCTGTATTATATAAGCAGACGTAAAGAAGAAAATTTTGAATGAGATTACAAAATGACATCAACTTGTCAGTAATTAAATGCAAATTTATCGAATTTGAAATTAACATATCCGAAGACATTTAATGTATGTTTATTTATAACGACTGTGCAAAGTACACATGTAAATAAAATTTGCAACGCGATGCATAAATATTCTATTAATCATCTCAAAAAAAGATTACTACGCCAATGCAAATGAAATTTCCATTATAACATTATAATAATATATAAGGTTATATCTTAACAATAAAAACATTGATTCAATTAAATTTTGTCTAACAAAGAAATCTATTTTATTCGTGTGAAGTTTGTTTTTTTTCTTTTTTCTTAATGATTTTGTTTTTCGCCACGTTTTCGCATAGTTTTCATATTAATGTCATACGAATGCATTGAATGTAAAGAAATTACGAACAATTGTACTTATATTTCTATAAACGACATCCATAATGTGCTTGATATCGCTTTACATAATATCGCATTATCTAATACGATAGATAGGCAATAATGAGAGCGGCGTTTATCCGATCCAACGAAGGCATGGCTAATTGAAGTATTTTTTAGTACGAAATTGATTACGTAAACGTCTCGCGAGATCGGTAAGATTCCGCTCCGCGAATGCGGAATTTTCTCAACAAAACCGCGATATTCCACGCGATATATCCCGGATACCAACCAATATTATATTATTCCGCTTTTCGTATGTGAAACCGGACGATATTACATTACACGCGTAATATAATAATTCGAATAATTTCCCGAACGCGCACGCTTTTCAATTCGTTACCGTAACATCAAATACTATCAAATACGATTTCCGGTTTCGCCGCGCTTCCGCCTCGTAATAAGCTCGGCGCTCGAACGAGCGGCGAAGTAACATCGATTTCCTCGCCGTGTCACGTGACGACTTTTACCCATCCGTATCATTTTTGATGATATAACGACCGTAACACTACCGATGATAAAATCTCAGAATATTATTCTGTCAGCCGCTAACGGGCGAAATCGTGTTTTATCGGAGTCGTATCGCGGACTCACATTCGACTATGAATAACCTACCTGCCGACCGTTAATTTCGATCATTACAACTTTCATTGAAGCTTTTTTTTATAAACAATAAATCGCGTGTCACACACCCAGCTACGTGTGTTTTACAGTTATTCGGAATAACCGAGCGTGACGATAAGCTTTACGTGTAATCACGTCGCCAATAGAAAACGCGAATTAATCGTTGCACAATTACAGACTATTTACAATACTTTCGAAGTATACGCTGATTATCTTGTTCGATAACCACTAACTAACTGCAGTATCGATGAAAGTAGATCCTTAAATAACATTGTAAATGTTTCTTTTTTCAAATTTCCACTTTGCTTTCATTCTAAACTTTGTGACGTAGACTTTTTTTTATTACCGCAGACTTTTTTTTTATTTAAACATTTAATGTATTTGTCCACATCCAAAAAAATTATTATAAAGTTTAAGTAATTTAGCGGATTCCTATGAATATGTTTCGATAATTATTCTATTTGCAATGCTCTTTTTAATAAATTGTTTCCTAATTCGTGCTGCATGTACTCGCAATCAGAGAAAAACCCATTATTTTATAAGAAGTTTTCGCAAAGCTGTTTGTGAAATTTTCTCAATTATCGCCGCGTTCACCATTTGTTATTGCCACTTTTTTGCCATTCGTTTGAGAAATCTGCGTTTGAATAATCGCAAGAGCAACGCAAATGCCTTACTCGCCTTACTGAAAGAAAGAAACGTAATGTATAAAGTTTTAAATTATTATTCGTCATTGTTTAAACTATTAAAAATTTTAAAAACAAATTGCATTTTCTAATTATTCCATTAAGTTGTTAAAAAAAAAACGATTAAACTCCTTATATTTAATTTATCGTAAAAATCATTATATTCTAGGTTGCAAAACGTCATAATTATATTTATAAATATACAAAGAATTAAAAGAAATTATGAAATTAATTATGTGAAAATTTATACTTCAAAAAAATGGACTTTCCAAAAGTTTTGCGCTTCACGATAGGATGGATTTTCGATAGGATGGAATCTGCCGTTGACAGATAAATCGGTGCGCTCTAAGTGAGAGGGCACCTGATGTACATAAGATTAAAAATACATGAATCGATTATCAAGAATTATCAGCGACTGTGATCTGACGGAGATCTAAGGATAAGGCGAGAGGTGAAAAATTAACGGGATCGTTACGCGTAATATAAATCAGTCCGTTCATTTTCTTACGCCAGGGTCGCTGTGCAAACGAGCTCCCGACAGGATGGAGTCCACCTGAGGAGGAGGCTCCGCACCGATCTGCACGTTTATATATCGGTCCCAGGTGTTTCGTCCGAATTGCACTTCGTTGATCTCGCCGCTCCACCGAAAGGTCGCACCATGTCCAAGTACAACGTCAACGAGGAATTCGGAATGGAGAACCGCAGGGAGGTCACGCTGACTGGCTTCAGCAGCAACGCGCTCGATGACGTTCTTCGCAGCAACAACAACGAGCCGAATACGCTAAACGGTAATCCTGGCGGCGTTCACGCCATCACCAAAGACGCGAAGATCGTGAATCTCGAGGGTAAGTCGTACCATTGATACTATCTTATTTTAATTGGGATATAATTATGGGATATAATTATGGGATATAATAATAAATATTGGGATATAATTATGGGGAAAATTAATTATAAGAAAAATATGCTTTTCTCGTATGGTCACCTACTCTTGGAAGAAAATTAGGAATAACACTTCATTTGTATTGAGATATTGAGAAATAAAAAACGACTTGTTTTTCCTCGGTTTTTGCTCGGGAAAAGATGAGATATTTATAATGGACCGATCGAATACCGATCTTGCTGTTTCTTTAATTGTAATTGTAATTGAGAAATTTCGTTTAAACGACATGATTTTCATGGAGGCGAATGCATGATTTCATCGATGACTCGCGTAAAAAAATTTTACCGATGTTTAATGCACGCAACAGTAGACGAGAAAATAATCGGTGTGTGATTCAATGCGCGATACCTCGTCGCGCGGCGGAGATGCGGGGTGGCGGGAACATCGAACAAAAATTTGCAAAAATAATCATGCACCGTAGACCGACCTTCACTTTCACGGTTGAACAGCCGTTTTTTTTATAGCGTTTTATAATATTCGCGTTAGGGGGAAAAATTGTTTCAAGGCACGTTGCCTTCGTTCGCATCGCGCATGTGCATTTATACATATAACGTCGCAGCGACTCGTTTGTCAGTCGTAAATAATTTTTTTCTATAAGTTAAACATCTCTCGATATATTTTTATGAGAATTAGAGAAATTTGAGAAATAAATAATAAAATATTATAAATCACGAAGGTGCTACAAATTTTCTTTGCGGCAGAGAAGTTACGGCAAATACAGTTACGGCAATTTGACAAATAAAATGTTCAAATCTAACTAATTTATAATAACGCGATTACTAACTATAGATAATACACATTAAAAAAATATAGAGCACTGTTTAAAGATTTGTCCAAGTGCATCGTTCGCATATTGCTAATTGTATTTTTGATAATAGGATGTTGATTAGTACACAAAAAAAAAACAAATATTTTGAATTACAATAATCATATTGTAAAGAGTAATATATTCGTATTATAAGATGTTTTATATTAAATTGTATATAACAATATAAAATAAAATTTTATAAATGCTAAAGTCGGCATTGTTAAATCAACTTTTTTTCAAAGCTTATCTCGAGCGGCAGAAATATTTTGCATCTATAACATCTCAGCCGCAGGCGTATCGCATTCTAAATTATCATCTCCCACTCCTTTATACAGATCGTTATCGACATCCGTATTTACAATCACAAATACCTTCATTTGTGCGATCATTCAAGATGATATTCAAATCGAAGAAAAATTAATGATACTGCATCCACGAATGGTCTAAAAAACGATATATTTTCTGATGGTCTACTTGCAATAATGAAGAAAATAACGATAAAAATATTTTATTTTAATTTAAATACACAAAATTTCAGTAATAAATTTAATTTTCATTTGTATATCTTTCTGTCATTATTATACGGAAAAAAATAATGTATGAATGGCATTAAGTGTAATGAAAGATAATTTGGTTGACCCGATAATAGCATTGTTGAAATAAATGTGTATGTGTGTGTGTGTATATATATATATATATATATACTATTAATAATGTGTATGTGTGTATATATATATATATATATATATACACTATATATATATATATATATATATATATATATACACACATATATATATGTGTACACTTTATTATTATTACTGCTGATTTAGCAAAATTATATTTAATTAGCTTAATGCTGTTGACATTTTTTTTCCTTGTCTGCTTCGGTTAATGGCAGACAGCGAAATTTATGTATAATGGATAATGAAATGTAGTTTTATCAAAACATACAACGAGCTGCAATATATAGATGCGATTTCATCTGATTTTAATTTTGATTATATTAAAAAGCTAAATATGAATTAATTATCATAGTGCAATGCTGTGTTTTTTAATATTCGCGCTATCCATCTTGATTTCGAGATTTCACTGTTAACTGAGATAGCATTTACACTTCTCGTGATAATTTCTAACATTGTTAATTGAAAATAAACATATATGTTTATGTAAATTGTGAAGTAATATTACATGACGGATAATCAATTATACGACGTAACCTTTTTCTTCGTATTGAAAACGCGGAATTCGCGAAAGTGGATATATCGTTCAAGTAATATAAAAACAGGCGTCGTAAACTTAATATCCTTAAATTCTCGTGCGTGACGATCCTTGGAGATGTGACACAAATTAAACACGGCTCATGTCATGTTTTGATTAAAATTGCATTGACATTTACTCTGTTTCGTAATTATAGCAAAACTTTATCGAGAACAAAATATTTAAAATGTAAAAGATATCACTTTTTTTTCTAATTCGTGTAGAACTATCCCTTCTTACATTTCATATATGTATTCTCTGTAAAAATACTTTATAAGCATTTACTTTCTAAAATGTTTGAAAAAATTAACGCATTTATCACTTGTCGAATAATCTTGAATCGTTTAATGGTCTGCTTATGCTTAAACGCTTATATAAATAATAATTTATCTTGAGGCACCTTTGTGTGCCTCACCTAAATTCAACTTATGTATCTCGTACTTTTTTCGCTAAAATTAAAGAACACGAAAGGTCGTACGAAGCGACACTAATGAGTGTGAAAAAAATAAATTATACTATAATTATACTATAATCATAACCGCATCGACATCATTAATATATCAACGTAACAACGATGCACAAAGTTTAATGCAAAGTAAAAATATTATTACGTTTTGTAATAGAATCGTTTCCTTATATGACACATAACACTTCTTAATTTGTTAACTATTTTAAATGTCGATCTTTGAATATCTCTATCGTATTTTTCAAACATTGTGAGATCTCAATAAATTTTGTTTGTAGAAAATACTTCAGTTAAAACAATATTTTTGTAACTGCTAAATTTCACAGTTTTTAAAAATTTTTTATTTAAATTTATTAATTTTTCTATAAAAAAATATTAATTTGCGACATTTCTTTATATATGTAATCTTTTGCGATTGATTTATATTTAGAACGATTTATATATATTGTTGTCATAATTTCTAGTCCCTCAAGATTCCAGTAGTACGAGTGCTGTATGTACTTCCGGAAGAAGATGGCTCTCTCGACGAGTCAGAAGATCTTGTAGGAAGAAGCTACTATTTAAGAGAATACCGATCCTAACGTGGCTGCCAAATTACCGGAAGGAATATATAGTAAGCGATTTAGTAGCTGGTATCACCGTAGGCCTCACCGTCATACCGCAAGCCATAGCGTATGCTAATGTCGCAGGATTACCATTACAGGTAAGCAAGTGCATTAAAGTACAAAGTAGCTTAAGATAATAAAAGACATTAAGATAACCGAATATTTTATATAAAATATTTTATGATATTCTATAAAATTCTATATTCTATAAAATATTCTAAATATTTTTATATAAAATATTCAGTTAAAGTACAATATATTTATTATATTTAAATCTTGTGTATTTAAGAACTTTTTTTTATCTTTAAATAGAACTTTAAAGCGATAATATATATTATTAATTAAAACATAACATCTAGTACAATTAATTAAAACTTAACATCTAATGCAAAAAGTTTTATTTACTTTCTACCATTAAAAAAATATCTTGACTGTAATAAAAAAATTTAATTTATTAACCATGAAAAAGGTTCATTCATTAATATCATATAATAATTAGAAGTTATTGTTACACGTAACTTTGATAAACATCATTAAATCAAAATATCCATCAATTTAGGAGCTCATTGACCTTGGCTATCATGTAACGATCATAAGCAAATTGGCACCTAGCACGAAAGTTAGTCATTAACTGGTTTGTTTTCGTTTCTTTTTTGTTTACTTTTTTAAGACGTTGCCACAACGCGCAATATTGAGATATCTAAAATATGCAAACAATGAAACTAAATCTGATATTTATTTATCTATGGAAAACTGTCTATCTATATTGCATTGGTTATATTGGGTGGACTATTTTAACATATCACTTTCTATCATAAAAAAAATATCAAATATCATATAACTCTGTTGTTTTTAATGTAGAAAAAAATATTTGATATAAAAGCTTCACAGTTTTGCAAGAGAATACGGCGCACACGCATGCAACAAACTGAATCTGATTATTGTTTTATGGCGTGCTACTTTTATGAGATGGCAATATTATTAATATTATTATAAAAAAATATTTTATTTGGACAGTATGGACTCTATTCATCTTTCATGGCCTGTTTCGTGTATACAATTTTCGGCTCTTGGAAAGACGTACCTGTCGGGCCAACCGCAATCGCCGCGATTTTAACAAGAGAAACTTTACAAAAGGCCCACCTAGGATCTGATTTCGCTGTTTTACTGTGTTTCATTTCGGGTTGTGTCTCTTTATTAATGGGCATTTTGCAACTAGGTAACGTTATAAATCATAAAGAATGAAATTAATATAATAAAATTAATATTGTGCATTCACTGCATTCGCGTATGCTTCCAAATTAATAGTTTTTATTATTCAACATATATTCGTATTTAATCTTTGTGTTGATAAATTTTTTATTTAATTTTTTATTTAATATTTTACATGCATGATACGGTTTACATATACATATTTTATTTTATATATTGTTTATATATAAAATGTTTATAATGCATTTTAATGCGTGGTATTTTTTTATCGTTTTCAACGATTAGGATTTTTACTGGATTTTATATCGGGGCCGGTATCCGTTGGTTTCACATCGGCCGCATCGATTATCATCGCCACCAGCCAGGTGAAAGATATTCTTGGTCTCAAAGTTTCCGGTACCAAGTTCGTGCAAGTCTGGCAAAGTATCTTCGAGCATATCGCCGAGTCGAGACGTTGGGATACCGCTTTGGGAATCATCTGCATAATCGTTCTTCTGCTTCTCCGAGTAAGTACGACACTTCTGCGTTTCGACAGTTTAGCCCGTTTATCATTCGGTACTTAAGCAATCAAACCCAGGCACGATATGACTGAATTATATCCTTCGATTATTCATGGCATATTTATTAAATCAAAATTAACTAAGATTTCACTCCGATTTCTAATTATGTTCTCAGAAATACGATTTAGCTCAAATTACTTTAATTATTTTGTCATTATGAGTTGTTTGTTGTATCAAAAAATAAAATGTAACAATATTTATTACTTTAGGAAAATTTTAGCAATTGGAAAAGTTGTTTCGAGATATTTTTACTTCTTAATACAATATAATATATATAAACAAATATAAAAATATGATACATACAAGCTGCTAATTTTTTTACTTATTTAGAAAGTAAAGGATTTGCCAGTAGTACCAAAAAATACCAAAGTACCATCGGGGATCCAACAAGTTATCACAAAGTTATTCTGGCTAATCTCCACCGCCAGAAACATTATCGTCGTGATCGTCTGCGCGGTAATGTGCTGGCTCCTCGAGGAACACTTAGGAGAATCGCCCGTCATTTTAACGGGCCATGTGAAGCAAGGATTACCGGAATTCCGTTTGCCACCTTTCGAAGCTCAGGTCGGGAACGAGACCTATACTTTCATCGACATGATTTCCTCTCTGGGCACCGGCTGTCTAGTCGTCCCGATGCTAAGTCTGTTAGAAACCATCTCCATCGCCAAAGTATTTTGTGAGTGTTTAGTCGAACAACATTCTGCTCAATATTGTTACATTAAATCTTTTCGTTAAAGGATAATTGAGGGATAAAATCTAGAAAATAAACTTGAAATTAACACTATAAGCAAAATATAAAAATTTCTTTAAGGCGACACGTTGATGTCTAAATTTAATTTGTACGTTAAAACAATTAAATTGATGTTACGTCCACAGCTGAGGGTAAGTCGATAGACGCGACTCAAGAAATGTTGGCGTTGGGTGTGTGCAATGTAGTGTCATCGTTTGTATCATCAATGCCCGTGAGTGGTGGCCTCAGCCGAGGCGCGGTCAATCACTCGTCCGGAGTAAAGACGACACTCGGTGGAGTCTACACCGGACTATTAGTGCTTATATCGTTGCAGTTCCTAACGCCCTATCTGTATTACATACCTAAGGCCACTCTAGCGGCCGTCATCATCGCCGCGGTTGTCTTTATGGTGGAGTTCCAAGTGGTGAAGCCAATGTGGCGAAGTAAAAGTACGTCTCTTATCGACATATGGGTAAAACAATCGGAATAAAATTGAAAATCAAAAATTTTTATTATTTATCTAGCAAAATATTGTAATACAACTTATCGATTATATCCAATCGCAAATTTTGAATAAAATCATTCTAATTAATTTTTAGATTTCCAACGTGATTTTATGTATTCTTTTTTTACGACAAAGCGTATCATCATCATTTTCAGAAATTGATCTCATACCAGCCATAACCACGTTCCTATGTTGTCTTTTCATACGACTCGAACTGGGCATCGTGATCGGCATCGGTATAAATCTCTTGTTCCTACTTTATGCCTCGGCCAGACCGACGTTACGAGTTCATAAAGCTACGGTAAGTTTACAGCTATGTATAGTAAAATAATTGTAAATACTCTCTGTCATGTAAACGTTTTACATTATATCCTAGATTTAAGAACAATTGAAGAAATATGTCTCTTATAATAATTTATAAATTATACATTAATGTATCGTTTTCTTTTACAGAGTATTAGTGGTTGTGAATATCTTGTCATAACTCCGGATCGAAGTTTAGTGTTTCCAAGTGTCGAATACGTGCGTGCCGTCATTAGCAAGCAAGGTTTGCGGGAAGGTATCGCCGTGCCTGTTGTAATAGATTCTATGCATATCCAGGCAGCCGATTTCACCGCTGCAAAGGTGAAGAAAGAAGTAGAACAAAAAAAATTTGTTTGTTATATTAATTAAACGTCTATCAAACTCATTACTAATTTTTTCCTTTTTTCAGGGCATTAAAACTTTGATAGAGGATTTTACTAAACGGGGCCAACCTCTAATCTTTCATAACTTGAAACCGAGCGTTATCGAGATCTTTAAAGGTGTGAAACCCTCCGGGCTCACGTGCAGTTCCAGTGAACTTGAACTCAACGACTGTCTTAAAGGTAAATCGATTTTTATAGAATGCCTCATTTCTGGTACAAATTTTCTAAATATTATATTATTTTTATTTTAGAGTACACGAATGCTTCAACTGAGACTCTCAATCGATATTAAATATGCAGTTGAAGATATAATATCTTTTTTTCCTTAAAGAGCATCAGTATTATAGTGAAAATATCGTGGCGTTGAAGACATTACACGTATATT